AGGAGCAGGAGGAGCAGAAGGATCAGTGAGGAGCAGGAGGATCAGTGAGGAGTAGGAGGAGCAGGAGGATCAATGAGGAGCAGGAGAATCAGTGAGGATCAGGAGGAGCAGGAGGATCAGTGAGGAGCAGGAGGAGCAGGAGGATCAGTGAGGAGCAGGAGGAGCAGGAGGATCAGTGAGGAGTAGCAGGAGCAGGAGGATCAGTGAGGAGCAGGAGAATCAGTGAGGATCAGGAGGAGCAGGAGGATCAGTGAGGAGCAGGAGGAGCAGGAGGATCAGTGAGGAGTAGGAGAATCAGTGAGGACATCAGGAGGAGCAGGAGGATCAGTGAGGAGCAGGAGGAGCAGGAGGATCAGTGAGGAGTAGGAGGAGCAGGAGGATCAGTGAGGAGCAGGAGGATCAGTGAGGATCAGGAGGAGCAGGAGGATCAGTGAGGAGCAGGAGGAGCAGGAGGATCAGTGAGGAGTAGGAGGAGCAGGAGGATCAGTGAGGAGCAGGAGAATCAGTGAGGATCAGGAGGAGCAGGAGGATCAGTGAGGAGTAGGAGGAGCAGGAGGATCAGTGAGGAGCAGGAGGAGCAGGAGGATCAGTGATGAGCAGGAGAATCAGTGAGGAGCAGGAGGAGCAGGAGGATCAGTGAGGAGCAGGAGGAGCAGAAGGATCAGTGAGGAGCAGGAGGAGCAGGAGGATCAATGAGGAGCAGGAGGAGCAGGAGGAGCAGGAGGAGCAGGAGGATCAGTGAGGAGCAGGAGGATCAGTGAGGAGTAGGAGGAGCAGGAGGATCAGTGAGGAGCAGGAGAATCAGTGAGGAGCAGGAGGAGCAGGAGGATCAGTGAGGAGCAGGAGGATCAGTGAGGAGTAGGAGGAGCAGGAGGATCAGTGAGGAGTAGGAGCAGGAGGATCAGTGAGGAGCAGGAGGATCAGTGAGGAGCAGGAGGATCAGTGAGGAGCAGGAGAATCAGTGAGGAGCAGGAGGAGCAGGAGGAGCAGGAGGATCAGTGAGGAGCAGGAGGATCAGTGAGGAGCAGAAGGAGCAGGAGGATCAGTGAGGAGCAGGAGGAGCAGAGAGGAGCAGGAGGATCAGTGAGGGGCAGGAGGAGCAGGAGGATCAGTGAGGAGCAGGAGGAGCAGGAGGATCAGTGAGGAGCAGGAGGAGCAGTGAGGAGCAGGAGGAGCAGGAGGATCAGTGAGGAGCAGGAGGATCAGTGAGGAGCAGGAGGAGCAGGAGGATCAGTGAGGAGCAGGAGGAGCAGGAGGATCAGTGAGGAGCAGGAGGAGCAGGAGGAGCAGTGAGGAGCAGGAGGAGCAGGAGGATCAGTGAGGAGCAGGAGGAGCAGTGAGGAGTAGAAGGAGCAGGAGGATCAGTGAGGAGCAGGAGGATCAGTGAGGAGCAGAAGGAGCAGGAGGATCAGTGAGGGGCTGGAGGAGCAGGAGGATCAGTGAGGAGCAGGAGGAGCAGTGAGGAGCAGGAGGAGCAGAAGGATCAGTGAGGAGCAGGAGGATCAGTAGGAAGGAGGAGGCAGGAGGATCAGTGAGGAGCAGGAGGAGCAGAAGGATACGTGAGGAGCAGGAGGAGCAGGAGGATCAGTGAGGAGCAGGAGGATCAATGAGGAGCAGGAGGAGCAGGAGGATCAGTGAGGAGCAGGAGGATCAGTGAGGAGTAGGAGGAGCAGGAGGATCAGTGAGGAGTAGGAGGAGCAGGAGGATCAGTGAGGAGTAGGAGGAGCAGGAGGATCAGTGAGGAGCAGGAGGAGCAGAAGGATCAGTGAGGAGCAGGAGGAGCAGGAGGATCAGTGAGGAGCAGGAGGAGCAGGAGGATCAGTGAGGAGCAGGAGGATCAGTGAGGAGCAGGAGGAGCAGGAGGATCAGTGAGGAGCAGGAGGATCAGTGAGGAGCAGGAGGAGCAGTGAGGAGCAGGAGGAGCAGGAGGATCAGTGAGGGCAGGAGGAGCAGGAGGATCAGTGAGGAGCAGGAGGATCAGTGAGGAGCAGTGAGGATCAGTGAGGGGCAGGAGGAGCAGGAGGATCAGTGAGGAGCAGGAGGAGCAGGAGGATCAGTGAGGAGCAGGAGGAGCAGTGAGGAGCAGGAGGAGCAGGAGCAGGAGGAGCAGTGAGGAGCAGGAGGAGCAGGAGGATCAGTGAGGAGCAGGAGGAGCAGGAGGATCAGTGAGGAGCAGGAGGAGCAGGAGGAGCAGGAGGAGCAGGAGGAGCAGGAGGAGCAGGAGGAGCAGGAGGAGGATCAGGAGGAGCAGGAGCAGGAGGAAGTGAGGAGCAGGAGGAGCAGGAGGAGCAGTGAGGAGCAGGAGGAGCAGGAGGATCAGTGAGGAGCAGGAGGAGATCAGTGAGGAGCAGGAGACAGAGCAGGAGGAGCAGGAGTCAGTCAGGAGGAGCAGGAGAGAGGAGCAGGAGGATCAGGAGGACAGTGAGGAGCAGGAGGAGCAGGAGGATCAGTGAGGAGCAGGAGGAGCAGGAGGATCAGTGAGGAGCAGGAGGAGCAGGAGGACAGGAGGAGCAGGAGGATCAGGAGGAGCAGGAGGAGCAGGAGGATCAGGAGGAGCAGGAGGATCAGTGAGGAGCAGGAGGAGCAGGAGGATCAGTGAGGAGCAGGAGGAGCAGGAGGATCAGTGAGGAGCAGGAGGAGCAGGAGGATCAGTGAGGAGCAGGAGGAGCAGGAGGATCAGTGAGGAGCAGGAGGAGCAGGAGGATCAGTGAGGAGCAGGAGGAGGATCAGTGAGGAGCAGGAGGAGCAGGAGGATCAGTGAGGAGCAGGAGGAGCAGGAGGATCAGTGAGGAGCAGGAGGATCAGTGAGGAGCAGGAGGAGCAGGAGGATCATGAGGTGAGGAGCAGGAGGAGCAGGAGGCAGGAGGATCAGTGAGGAGCAGGAGGAGCAGGAGGATCAGTGAGGAGCAGGAGGATCAGTGAGGAGCAGGAGGAGCAGGAGGATCAGTGAGGAGCAGAGGAGGATCAGTGAGGAGCAGAGGATCAGTGAGGAGCAGGAGGAGCAGGAGGAGCAGTGAGGAGCAGGAGGAGCAGGAGGATCAGTGAGGAGCAGGAGGAGCAGGAGGATCAGTGAGGCAGAGGAGCAGGAGGAGCAGGAGGATCAGTGAGGAGCAGGAGGATCAGTGAGGAGAGAGGAGCAGGAGGATCAGTGAGATAGTGAGGAGCAGGAGGATCAGTGAGGAGCAGGAGGAGCAGGAGGATCAGTGAGGAGCAGGAGGATCAGTGAGGATCAGGAGGAGCAGGAGGATCAGTGAGGAGAGGAGGAGCAGGAGGATCAGTGAGGAGGAGGCAGGAGGATCAGTGAGGACAGGAGGAGCAGGAGGATCAGTGAGGAGCAGGAGGAGCAGGAGGATCAGTGAGGAGCAGAGGCAGGAGAGGAGGATCAGGAGGAGCAGGGATCAATGAGGAGCAGGAGGAGCAGGAGGATCAGGAGGAGGAGCAGGAGGATCAGTGAGGAGTAGGAGGAGCAGGAGGATCAGTGAGGAGTAGGAGGAGCAGGAGGATCAGTGAGGAGGAGGAGCAGGAGGATCAGTGAGGAGGATGGAGCAGGAGGAGCAGGAGGATCAGTGAGGAGCAGGAGGATCAGTGAGGAGCAGGAGGAGCAGGAGGATCAGTGAGGAGCAGGAGGATCAGTGAGGAGCAGGAGGAGCAGGAGGATCAGTGAGGACAGGAGGAGCAGGAGGATCAGTGAGGAGCAGGAGGATCAGTGAGGAGCAGGAGGATCAGTGAGGAGTCAGGAGGAGCAGGAGGATCAGTGAGGATCAGTGAGGAGCAGGAGGATCAGTGAGGAGCAGGAGGATCAGTGAGGAGCAGTGAGGATCAGTGAGGAGCAGGAGGAGCAGGAGGATCAGTGAGGAGCAGGAGGAGCAGGAGGATCAGTGAGGAGCAGGAGGAGCAGTGAGGAGCAGGAGGAGCAGGAGGATCAGTGAGGAGCAGGAGGAGCAGGAGGAGCAGGAGACAGGAGGATCAGTGAGGAGCAGGAGCGGAGGATCAGTGAGGAGCAGGAGGAGCAGGAGGAGCAGTGAGGAGCAGGAGGAGCAGGAGGAGCAGTGAGGAGCAGGAAGGAGCAGTGAGGAGCAGGAGGATCAGTGAGGAGCAGGAGGATCAGTGAGGAGCGAGGAGCAGGAGGATCAGGAGGAAGGAGGAGCAGGAGGATCAGTGAGGAGCAGGAGGAGCAGGAGGATCAGTGAGGAGCAGGAGGAGGAGGATCAGTGAGGATCAGTGAGGAGCAGGAGGATCAGGAGGAGCAGAAGGATCAGTGAGGAGCAGGAGGAGCAGTGAGGAGTAGAAGGAGCAGGAGGATCAGTGAGGAGCAGGAGGATCAGTGAGGAGCAGAAGGAGCAGGAGGATCAGTGAGGGGCTGGAGGAGCAGGAGGATCAGTGAGGAGCAGGAGGATCAGTGAGGAGCAGGAGGAGCAGGAGGATCAGTGAGGAGCAGGAGGATCAGTGAGGAGTAGGAGGAGCAGGAGGATCAGTGAGGAGTAGGAGGAGCAGGAGGATCAGTGAGGAGCAGGAGGAGCAGGAGGATCAGTGAGGAGCAGGAGGAGCAGGAGGATCAGTGAGGAGCAGGAGGAGCAGGAGGAGCAGGAGGAGCAGGAGGATCAGTGAGGAGCAGGAGGATCAGTGAGGAGCAGGAGGAGCAGGAGGATCAGTGAGGAGCAGGAGGAGCAGGAGGAGCAGGAGGATCAGTGAGGAGCAGGAGGAGCAGAAGGATCAGTGAGGAGCAGGAGGATCAGTGAGGAGCAGGAGGAGCAGTGAGGAGCAGAAGGAGCAGGAGGATCAGTGAGTGGCAGGAGGAGCAGGAGGATCAGTGAGGAGCAGGAGGATCAGTGAGGAGCAGTGAGGATCAGTGAGGGGCAGGAGGAGCAGGAGGATCAGTGAGGAGCAGGAGGAGCAGGAGGATCAGTGAGGAGCAGGAGGAGCAGTGAGGAGCAGGAGGAGCAGGAGGATCAGTGAGGAGCAGTGAGGAGCAGAAGGAGCAGGAGGATCAGTGAGGGGCAGGAGGAGCAGGAGGATCAGTGAGGAGCAGGAGGAGCAGGAGGATCAGTGAGGAGCAGGAGGCGCAGGAGGAGCAGTGAGGAGCAGTGAGGAGCAGAAGGAGCAGGAGGATCAGTGAGGAGCAGGAGGATCAGTGAGGAGCAGGAGGATCAGTGAGGAGCAGGAGGAGTCAGGAGTAGCAGGAGGATCAGTGAGGAGCAGGAGGAGCAGGAGGATCAGTGAGGAGCAGGAGGAGCAGGAGGATCAGTGAGGAGCAGGAGGATCAGTGAGGAGCAGGAGGAGCAGGAGGATCAGTGAGGGAGCAGGAGGATCAGTGAGGAGTAGGAGGAGCAGGAGGATGAGGAGCAGGAGAATCAGTGAGGAGCAGGAGGAGCAGGAGGATCAGTGAGGAGCAGGAGGAGCAGGAGGATCAGTGAGGAGCAGGAGGATCAACTAGGAGCAGGAGGAGCAGGAGGAGCAGGAGGATCAGTGAGGAGCAGGAGGAGCAGGAGGATCAGTGAGGAGCAGGAGGATCAGGAGAGGTGAGGAGCAGGAGGGAGCAGAGGATCAGTGAGGAGCAGGAGGATCAGTGAGGAGTAGGAGGAGCAGGAGGATCAGTGAGGAGCAGGAGATCAGTGAGGAGCAGGAGGAGCAGGAGGATCAGTGAGGAGCAGGAGGAGCAGGAGGACCAGTGAGGAGCAGGAGGATCAACTAGGAGCAGGAGGAGCAGGAGGGATCAGTGAGGAGCAGGAGAATCAGTGAGGAGCAGAAGGATCAGTGAGGAGCAGGAGGATCAGTGAGGAGCAGGAGGATCAATGAGGAGCAGGAGGAGCAGGAGGATCAGTGAGGAGCAGGAGGATCAGTGAGGAGTAGGAGGAGCAGGAGGATCAGTGAGGAGTAGGAGGAGCAGGAGGATCAGTGAGGAGTAGGAGGAGCAGGAGGAGCAGTGAGGAGCAGGAGGAGCAGAAGGATCAGTGAGGAGCAGGAGGAGCAGGGAGGATCAGTGAGGAGCAGGAGGATCAGTGAGGAGCAGGAGGATCAATGAGGAGCAGGAGGAGCAGGAGGATCAGTGAGGAGCAGGAGGAGCAGGAGGATCAGTGAGGAAGGCAGGAGGAGCAGAAGGATCAGTGAGGAGCAGGAGGATCAGTGAGGGCAGGAGGAGCAGTGAGGAGCAGAAGGAGCAGGAGGATCGTGTGAGGGGCAGGAGGAGCAGGAGGATCAGTGAGGAGCAGGAGGAGCAGGAGGATCAGTGAGGGGCAGGAGGTAGCAGGAGGATCAGTGAGGAGCAGGAGGATCAGTGAGGAGCAGTGAGGATCAGTGAGGGGCAGGAGGAGCAGGAGGATCAGTGAGGAGCAGGAGGAGCAGGTAGGATCAGTGAGGAGCAGGAGGAGCAGTGAGGAGCAGGAGGAGCAGGAGGATCAGTGAGGAGAGGAGGAGCAGGAGGATCAGTGAGGGAGCAGGAGGAGCAGTGAGGAGCAGAAGGAGCAGGAGGATCAGTGAGGGGCAGGAGGAGCAGGAGGATCAGTGAGGAGCAGAAAGGAGCAGGAGGATCAGTGAGGGGCAGGAGGAGCAGGAGGATCACGTGAGGAGCAGGAGGAGCAGGAGGATCAGTGAGGAGCAGGAGGAGCAGGAGGAGCAGTGAGGAGCAGGAGGAGCAGTGAGGAGCAGAAGGAGCAGGAGGATCAGTGAGGAGCAGGAGGAGCAGGAGGATCAGTGAGGAGCAGGAGGATCAGTGAGGAGCAGGAGGATCAGTGAGGGGCAGGAGGTGCAGGAGTGAGCAGGAGGATCAGTGTGGAGCAGGAGGAGCAGGAGGATCAGTGAGGAGCAGGAGGAGCAGTGAGGAGCAGAAGGAGCAGGAGGATCAGTGAGGAAGCAGGAGGAGCAGAAGGATCAGTGAGGAGCAGGAGGATCAGTGAGGAGTAGGAGGAGCAGGAGGATCAGTGAGGAGGCAGGAGAATCAGTGAGGAGCAGGAGGATCAGTGAGGAGCAGGAGGATCAACTAGGAGCAGGAGGAGCAGGAGAAGAGCAGGAGGAGCAGGAGGATCAGTGAGGAGCAGGAGGATCAGTGGAGGAGCAGGAGAATCAGTGAGGAGCAGAAGGATCAGTGAGGAGCAGGAGGATCAGTGAGGGAGCAGGAGGAGCAGGGAGGGATCAGTGAGGAGCAGGAGGATCAATGAGGAGCAGGAGGAGCAGGAGGATCAGTGAGGAAGAGGAGGAGCAGTGAGGAGCAGGGAGAATATGTGAGGAGCAGGTGGTTCAGTGAGGAGCAGGTAGGACGCAGAAGGATCAGTGAGGAGCAGGGAGGATCAGTGAGGAGCAGAAGGAGCAGGAGGATCAGTGAGGAGCAGGAGGAGCAGTGAGGAGCAGCAAGGAGCAGGAGGATCAGTGAGGGGCAGGAGGAGCAGGAGGATCAGTGGAGGAGCAGGAGGAGCAGGAGGATCACTGAGGGGCAGGAGGAGCAGGAGGATCAGAGAGGGAGCAGGAGGAGCAGTGAGGAGCAGAAGGAGCAGGAGGATCAGTGAGGAGCAGAAGGAAGCAGCGAGGAGGAGCAGGAGGATCAGTGAGGAGCAGGAGGATCAGCGAGGAGCAGAAGGAGCAGGAGGATCAGTGAAGTAGCAGGAGGAGCAGGAGGATCAGCGAGGAGCAGGAGGAGCAGAAGGATCAGTGAGGCGCAGGAGGAGCAGGAGGGATCAGTGAGGAGCAGGAGGATCCGTGAGGAGCAGAAGGAGCAGGAGGATCAGTGAGGAGCAGGAGGAGCAGGAGGATCAGTGAGGAGCAGGAGGGAGCAGAAGGATCAGTGAGGAGCAGGAGGATCAGCGAGGAGCAGTTAGGAGCAGACGGATCAGTGAGGGAGCAGGAGGAGTAGAAGGATTCAATGACTAGGAGCAGGAGGAAGCAGGAGGATCAGTGAGGAGCCAGGAGGAGCAGTGAGGATCAGTGAGGAGCAGGAGGAGAGGAGGATCAGTGAGGAGCGAAGGAGCAGGAGGAGCAGGAGGATAGCGTAGGAGCAGGAGGGATCAGTGGGAGCAGGAGGAGCAGAGGATCAGTGAGGAGCAGAAGGAGCAGGAGGGATCAGTGAGGAGCAGGAGGAGCAGGAGTGAGCAGGAGGATCAGTGAGGAGCAGGATGAGCAGGAGGATCAGTGAGGAGCAGAAGGAGCAGTGAGGAGCAGAAGGAGCAGGAGGATCAGTGAGGGGCTGGAGGATCAGTGAGGAGCAGGAGGAGCGGAGATAAAGTGACCGGAGCAGGAGGAGCAGCAGGAGGAGAAGGAGGATAAGTGAGGGCAGGAGGAGCAGCAGGAGGAGCAGCAGGAGGAGCGAGGAGGATCAGTGAGGGGCAGGAGGAGCAGGAGGAGGAAGCAGGAGGATCAGTGAGGAGCAGGAGGATAAGTGAGGAGGAGGGAGGAGCAGCAGGAGGAGCAGGAGGATCAGTGAGGAGCAGGAGGATAAGTGAGGAGCAGGAGGAGCAGCAGGAGCAGTGAGGAGCAGGAGGATAAGTGAGGAGCAGGAGGAGAGCAGGAGGCGCAGGTGGGATCAGTGAGGAGCAGGAGGAGCAGCAGGAGGAGCAGGAGGGATCAGTAGTGAGGAGCAGGAGGCTTCCAAATGTTTAAAAATTAGGTACCGCCCAACTTTCACCAAACAAAAATTATGAATTATATATTAAATCCATGTAACTAGTTCCGTGGTCCTGAGTTTTGGTTTCTTTTCCAGACAGAAAAAGAGAGAACCAAGCTCCAATCCACTCTCAGACGCAAACCGTCAAAATGTGACCTCAAAGCGCTCTTTACTATCAAACAATTTTTCTAAAGGTACAATGAGACAGCATGGTGGACTTTGTCACAACTAAATTTTTGTACTGTTGGGTCAAACCAGATGTATAGAGTATGAAACATAAAGAGAAGAAACCCCAGCTTTAAAAGGGGATAAATACAAGAGCATATGAGGCCTTTAACGCATGTATGTTCACATCTGACAGAAAGCAATTATCACTTTGGTTTTTTTTGGGATTGGGTAAATTTTTGTTTTTTTTCTAAGATGTAGAGTATGATGAATGGTTGAGATGCAGCTTAATGGTAAAAAAGTGCCTAAAACCAAGTGAAAAAGATATCCCCCAATCAGTAGATTTTTCAGTTCCAAGCTCACGTAGATATATCAGTGGTGCACATAAGGGTAAACAGGACGCATGCGCGACAAATATCAGCAAAGCATACTATCTCCTCCCTCTACTCCCACTTGAGTTTAGTAGCGCACTGGAACCATAGACCAGTCCTCCCTAGGGGGTTGTTGTGCAATGCCAGAGAGGTGTGCGGATCGCGGAGCACTTGCTGCTGTTTGCTGAACGTACGTTGAACAGGATTCCAAATCCTCCGTGGCAGCAGCGTTCTGACTCCAGAGAGCCACTCCGGCTGCTTTGTAATGACAGCGGCTCCTTGACTAATGTACACAAGCACGGACCCAGTTCTCTGCTTGTTGCATGTGTGTGTCTTTGCGTAACGCAAAATAAATAAATAACATAATGTTTACTGAAAACAGAGCTGGACACTGGAGCCTTAAGGAGTGTCCCATGAGCCACACCCGTGTTATCTACAGCTGTGGTACCATATACATGTAGCCTATGCATTAATAATGCATAATAATGTTGGTTTGTGCTCAAAATAAAAAATGTTGTGAAACAAATCAACCAAACATTGTTGTTTTTATTTTTGCATTTTTTAAGAAAGATCCCTGTGAGTCATTATTTTGACTTGATTGGATTATCTGAGCTGATCCTAAACTCACATTAAAAAGAAGCAAGTATAAAATCTCCATTAAAACCCAACGGCGACAAATGGGAGTTAGTACCAAAACACCATCTCTTATACTCAATCGAGAACCTCACTGAAAAAGGTTAAGTGCACCCCCTGCTATAGTGGACTCAACAAGCGACGCAAAAAGGGATCCACCAAATGTTTGAAGGAAACCCATAAGGGTTAATATTAGGATGTAGTCTTATTTGGTTCAGCGCAGGTCGTTGCATCTGGATGGGGGCCGTGAGGTCGAGGCCGAGGCTGCAGTCGGGGTCCCACCGGTGAGCCTAAAGAATGGCGCCCTCCTGTAATCCCGCAGCTAGTGTGGTGGTGGAGGAAGCAGGAGTACAGGCCGATGTCTATGCGGGACACAGCTCCCCGCAAAGGAACGGAGAGAAGTCCCCCCAGAGTGAAGGCATCGGGGTCATGCTCATCTTGTGCTGGCGGAAGAAGCGGACCCTAGTCCCTGCGCTCACACCGGACGCAACAGGTCCACCAGGCGCGTCGGCCCGGTCTGGTCTCCCTCCCGGAGCCTGGTAGTCACAGTGAGCCCCTGCTGCTGCTCCTCCTGGACCCCCATCGGCCGCCACAAAAGGGGGCGCCGTTCACACATGGAAGCACCACCGAGCAGCCCCCATAACACCACCAGCACGTCTACTCCCCGTCCCATACCGCCTCTCTTTACGTCTGGATAAGATTTATATCTGTAAGTTAAGTTTTCACTTTGGATAACTGTCTTCTCTTCACGTCTTCATCATCAAAAAAACTAAATATAATTGTACCAAAGCAGGGGTACCAAACATGGAGAACTGGATTTATTAGTAAATCCGATCCAACTAGTTCCTAACTCTAAAAACATTCTATCAGTATGTACATGTGTGTTTTTTTGGCAGGCTATTCAGACCAGAAAGCTAAAACAAGTAGTTCAGCCCATCTCAATCTCAACTCTCATTTCGTCAATTTGAGACTCAACAGGGCAATTTTCTTACCAGTAATGCATAATATAACACAACTTCAGAATGCTGTGATCGGCTTTGTTCTTATTTTTTAGTGAGAAATAAAAATACTCCAGCATTAAGATACTTAAATTTTTCTTTGTAGATTTGTCTTCAGTAAAATTAAATCAAAATCATCAGTCTATTAATGACACTGGCAAATAACAAAATCTAAGTGATTTTTGGTCCTAATAATCTTTTCCACAATTTCCATGTTTTTGTACTAAATACTTCAATTTCTGTGTTTTTAATGAGTAACCCTGATGTAGTCCCTTGTGTACGTGACTCTTGACTTGAGTCGTAGAAGTTGAGAGTTGGACCTGATTTGGTGACGTTGAGCAGGATCTGGATGTTCGGTGACCTGGCAGTAGTGTGTGGCAGGTTGCAGTGAGACTCCTTTGTCAGTCGTCAAACCACGTCTGGTAAAAACATTTCAGGTCAAAATCCAATAAAGCAGAATACAATGAACATTTCGGAATCATGTGACTGATATAAATGTATGGTAATCATCTTTTCCCATTCGAACTCAAACGAACAGAAATGCTCTCCTCCCTTTGTGAGCTTCCCTTCATTGACGATCTTCTCTTCCTGGCGAGAAGCACTTGAAAAACTTAAAACCATTATTTATGCTAAGACTTGGCAATAGAGGGCGGTTTCCATGTTTACGCTGTTTCTTGTTGGCTGTAATCTCACCCAATTAGCGTACAATCGATCATCTACTTCAGATGTCCGAATGTTTCCTAAAATCCTTCAAATGTTCTCTTCATATCCTCAACTGCCGGTTCCTTTCCTTCTGGATTATAGCTAACATACAGTATCTGGCTGATAGTATATTTCTATTTTACAAGCAAAACACCCTTGTTTTTAAAAATACTCCTACAATCAACCTAAAAAAGCTAAAATCATTTACTAAATAAATTTTACTCTATAGTGCCGTGTGGTGTTTATGTAAATGGGAAAGATGAGGCCATACAAAATCACAATATCTTGGATTCAGGGTATCCTTCAGCCTGTTCCCTCATATCCATCAAGGCATTATGTAATTATCTGCTAAAAAAAAAAATTGTCATTGCTAGCCAGCTCATTAGCTTTCTGTTATTCCGGAGTCCGTTTAGTGGTCTTTTCAAAAAAAGAAAAAAAAAATGTATAATAAAATTGGCCCTTGAGGAGTCAAACTTTGGAGTAATTAGCAGCACACTGTAAACATAATCTATAATAATAAATATAATACTGATGTGTGGTCTTACTGTTATGACGAGGGAGAAGTTCCCGTACTTTAAAGGCCTGCCTCAGAGAGAGACACTCGGCCTAGTTGAAGCTGTTGTAGACCAATTCGCTGCTTGGCTCCAGGGGACATGTCCAGGACCCTCTCTACAGAATACTCAAGGGCTTGTCTGCGGACCACGTCCCAGTGCCACCACGCCGCTGCCCGGAGTCCTCATCTGACCTGGGTCCACACCATCCTGGGGCTTTCTGCAGGTGAAGCACGCCCGAGAGCCAGCCGGGAGGGTGATGTTCCCGGGCCTCCACCACCCCCCACCGGGGCGGGAGCAGCTGCCCTGGCCCAGCACTGCACCACAACAACACATTATTTAGTGTATAATATCAGAATGTGATATATAGAACCACACCATTGTCCACTGTCACATTGTCTCCATATATGCTGCTAACTTAGATGTTTTAGCATTACCACTAATATATTTCTTGCACTAGAACATACAGTTTTTTATACTTGCTTCCTTACTATAGCTAAAAGTTAGAGATTTTATTTTATTTTTTTTTAGTGCAAAGTTATTGTTCATTTATCTATGTGTTGTGTGCACCCATTCTGTTTCAGGTCACGTCAACTCTGAAATGTCCCCCAGTGGGAACCAATAAAGGAATATAGGTGGAGTAGGTTTGAGAGGGATTTGAATAAAAAAAATGAAAAAAAAGGTGAATTGTTCACATTTTTAAGCATTACATTACGACATATCCAAGATTTAAAGGGTTATAAAAAAGCCCTGGTATCATAGGCGAGCCAGATATAGCCACAGATTTGTAGATCCATATCCAGTTATCGAATTGGACAATTCTTCTTCCATGATTATATATTCTTTTTAGTCAAATTAATACTCAAAGTCGAAACCCGGGATTTATTCAACTCAGTTAAGTCAGTGAACCCCTTTATTGTAAGAATATATACAAGTCCCACTCATGAAAACACATGAACACATGTGCAGGGTCCACTCGCATGGAACAGAAGTAAATGTATTGACTTTATGACCTGAAAGGGGGAGTCTATGTAGTAGTATTGTATTGATCCTTGATAAAGATCACAGCAGACCAAACATCTTCATAATAATCATAAAGAATAATGTTCCAAACTTAAATAGTGCTTTATGGACATTCAAAGACGCTTACAAAACACTTCGAAATAACATTGAAAAACAAAATAAGGAGGCAAGCTGAGACAGAGGGTTTTTGAGAAGAGATTTACAGTTCTGTAAGTAAAGTCTGAGTTTCTGATTCCGTTGAGGGAGTTGAGTTCCAGAGAGTGGGGCGGCTGCACGAAGAGATCCGGTCAACAAGGTCGGATATTATAGAATACTTGTTCTGTAATTCCCACGTTGAAAATGTGAAACCAGTACACCCCAGAGGAGATCATCACAAGCAAAGTCACATATGCCAAGTCTTTGTTGTAATTTTGAAAATATTGTAAGTCATACATGCGTGGGTAAGAATGGTATAGCGATAATGAGTTGGTTGAGGTCGATGTCTTACCTCAAGGCAGAAAGAACAAAGCAAACTGAAAGAGAAGACAAAAAACAGCATGAATATATTTGAAATTTCAACCCAACATTAGCCTCAAACTAAAACTCAACATGTTGTAAATGCTTTGTAGTAATCAAATCTTTTGGAAATTGGCTGAAGTTGAAGAGTTGATATTTTGACCTCAGAGCGCACTAGGTCCACAGCATGATATCGGTGTTGCCACAACCTCTAGAGGGAGAGAACAAAATGCACTTAAAGATGCGGCACCTAACTTTTTATGTCCATAAATACATGTTTTTTGTCCCAACAGGAAGAAGGACTTGAAATGTGTGAGCAAATGTTAGTCTTAGCCGTCTTATTATATTATTGAAACCACCTTATTACATGCCATTTATATATAAGAAAGAGCCTGACTCAACTAATTTTTGACACTGTTGAGCTGAGCAGAGGAAAGGGTGATCCTCTCTTATACCTTTTTCTGTCTGACAAAGATGTTGAAAAGATCTGACAGAAGCCAAATATACTGTAACCTGCCTGTTAAAACAAGTGATTTAGAGGTCTAGTAGGTTTCTAAGCCAGAAGTTACAAGGAGCTCAACTAAAAAAGATTTCAATTAATAGTCAGTTAATAGTCATATATTTCCCACAGAGCTGTTGTTTGTTATACTCCAAAGGGGAAGACTCAAACAAGCTTTGGAGTAACAAAAGTCTTCTTATATAAATGTGCCTCGATAACAATATTTCTTCTTCATGTGTTTTGTCTTTCTTTGAGCTGCATGAGGAATGATGCAATAATACTGAAAGTCAAACATTTCTCAATCCCGATGTTATATCAATCTACAGACATATTACAAACATATCGTGGCCTTTTCCCATTCGTGGCGACATCATTGTTGCAGACCAGAAAAAGTCTTCAATCTGGTGTTTTTCTAGCTGGAGATCGTTTCTTCCAAGAGGAGGTAAAACCAAGAGTAGCAGACCCTGTAATTTTGCCCCATTGCCTTCCTCCAGAAGCTGATGACCTCAAAGGCTGTGTTCCAAATGTTGACGACTTAACAATGTGCTTTTGAGCTGCGCAGCATAATAACACACATTTAACCAATTACCTGCAATTAGACAAAGCAGCTATTTGAAACTGGAGGTCCCGTTTACACTCACCTAAACAGTATGTGGAGCCAGGGGAGAGGTGCCATTTAACCATGAAACAACATTGTAATACTCACAAAGCAGACCTAGAGTCGTTTCTAGATCCATCGAAAGTAGATATTGGGAACTACTGTCCAAAACATGTAACTCGAGCCCTTCTGTACAAAAAGATCCTGTCATAGTATGATGTCAATAGGAAACGAACTAAGAACATCATATTCAGAGCAATTTTCCTGCATTTTAAACTAAAGTACTTTCCCTTATATTAGTTTTTTCAATGTCCTCTACTTGATTACATTAATCACGATCACGTCCACAAACCCAAAAAATCATTTTCACCACACACATCTACTGTATTTAATAGGAACGCAGATTCAACTCCTCCCTCTTGTGGTAGCTAGAGATAGGGCAGGCTGATAGCATTGTTCACCCCTTCATACCGTAAATTTTTGACGAAGAAATTATTTTGCATTCTAAAACGTGAAATAATAAAAAAAAAGTCTCATTGTCATGTTTAATTATCCAAAAGATATTGTTAATGTCTTCTTTAAAACAAAAGTATTGCCACAAACTCAGTGGTTGTCAAGTTCTTAATGGAAATGTCCTCCTGATACTTTTTCAAATTTGGAAAAGAATTAAACTAATTTAACTCCCTGCCCTGGTCTGTGGCATGGGGCGTTTACAGG